GTTACAAATCATTCATTTTACAACTAGGAGGTATTACAGTATAATAAAACTGACAGGAAAAATACCCTTCACAAATGGAGTGCTTTTGGATTGAGTGTTTTAAACCCAAAACCTAAGTTATCACAGAGGGCCAATCAGATGAAAGAAGAAATACCTTTCAGAGCTGATAATATTCAAAGTAAAAACAAGCAAACTGCCTAAAGCGCGAGCCAACGCGTGCGACAAAGTCGTGATTGGCTTTAGTTTTCGATCAATGTGATTGGTTAAGAGAGTAGCTGCGAGTGTTTTGGACCAATCATAGAACGAAGTAAAGCAACCCAATGCTATCTCGGATTACTTTTGCCATTGAAATGATAATTACTCTTTCTTATGAAACAATCTAATTGATTCAATTTTACTATTTTGTAGATGTTACCACAGCATCTACAATGGCTGTAGTTAACAATACAGAGTCTAAAGATGGGACGTCCACCACAGGAACCCCAATGACGGCGTCAACAAAAGCGTCCGCTACAGCCACAGTAGAACCAAACTCAACAACCCACGATACAACCAAGTCATCAAGTGCTTCTGTGAAGATTACAAGTCTCTCTGTCACAAAATCATCGTCCATATCCACCATAAGTAAGGGTAGGGGGCCATTTTGTATTATTAAAAGCTTAGGACAACAGAATGAATAACAATATGGCGAAAGGTTAAAAATTTGGGTTTCTAGGGACAGGTCCCCAAGAAACTTTGTTTTAATTTTCAATTTTTCTCTCTCTTTCTTTCTTTCTATTTTTTTTCTCGTTTTCTATTTTATATAATTCCATTTTTATTTCTGCGTGAAATTGTCGGCATCAGTACCTTTTTTATAAAAACCATAATCGGGCGCTGTACTTAATCATTATTTCATAGCTGCTCATGCGGCATTAATCTAAGAATTAACTGTACGAACAGGCCCATTTTGGAGAATGAACGGCCCAACAGTACAATATTATGAATTTTTAAATCGTATTTGTCGACGCGGAAAAATTAAAAATTTTAGGAAAACAACGAAAATAGAAATGAAACCGAAGAGGTTAATCTGAAACAAAAAGGAAAAGAAGAGGATTAATGGCAGTGGAGAAGATTAACACGAATTAAATAATTGGAACGTCAAATTGCCCGATAAGACGTATGGCTTTGCTAAAGTGACACAGAATTTCACGTACCATGAGAAAAAAAAACTGGAAACCTGTAAATCTATGTGATAACGTTTCCCAGCGTCCGTCTCGGGTTCTTGTTCAACTATAAAAAAGATTATTACAAATCATTCATTTTACAACCAGGAGGTATTACAGTATAATAAAACCGACAGGAAAAATACCTTACACAAATGGAGTGCATTTGGATTGAGTGTTTTAAACCCAAAACCAAAGTTATCAGAGAGGGCCAATCAGGAGAAAGGAGAAATACTGGTCAGAGCTGATAAGATTCGAAGTAAAAACAAGCAAACTGCCTAAAGCGCGAACCAACGCGTGCGACAAAGTCGTGATAGGCTTTAGTTTTCGATCGATGTGATTGGTTGAGAGAGTAGTCGCAAGTGTTTTGGACCAATCATAGAACGAGGTAAAGCAACCCATGGCTATCTTGGATTACTTTCGCCATTGAAATGATAATTGCTCTTTCTTATGAAACAATCTAATTGATTCAATTTTACTATTTTGGTGATGTTGCCACAGCATCTGCAAAGGCTGTAGTTAACAATACAGCGTCTAAAGATGGGACTTCCACCACAGGAACTCCAATGACGGCGACAAAAAAAGCGTCCGCTACAGCCCCAGTACAACCAACCTCAACAACCCACGATACAACCAAGTCATCAAGTGCTGATGTGAAGACTACAAGTCCCTCTGCCACAACATCATCTTCCATGTCCACCATTCGTAATGGTAAGAGACATTTTGTATTCTTAAAAGCTAAGGACAACAGAACGAAAATTTAATAGTACAGGGAAAGATTGGAATTTGGGGTCTGGAGACATGTCCCTCAAGAAACTTTGTTTAATTTTTAATTTTTCTCTCTCTTGCTTTCTTTCTTTTTTCCACGTTTTCTATTTTATATAATTTCATTTTTTATTTCTGCGTGAAATTGTCGGTATAAGTACCTTTTCTTTTATAAAACCGTAATCGCGCGTTTCATTGAATAATTATTTCATAGCTGTTTATACACTAATTAAAGAATGAACTGCATGGGGAGGCCCAGTTTGGAGAATAGACGGCCCTAGTCTCTCACAGGATTTGTGCTGACAGCAATAACAGGTTACCAAGGGTAAAACATCATGAATTTTTCAATTGTATTTGTCGACGCGGACGAATTAAAAATTTTAGGAATGAAACGACAATAGAAATCAAACCGAAGAGGTAAGTCTGAAACAAAAAGAAAAAAGAAGAGGTTAACAGCAATGGAGAAAATAAACTCGAATTGCGAACTTGGAACTGTGAAATAGCTGCTGTGATTAACAATACTCTGTATATTCACCTGGTAGTTAAATATTTTCAGCGTCTTTCAGCATAGGTACCGAGTACTCGTCACCAGATTGCAAATGTTGCAGCAATGGAGGAACCATCACAGTGACCATGTCATGTAGCATCAAGATGCCATCTAGCAACGATAAGAAATGTGACAAGGACGAGTTCAGTACAACCAGCTGTGGTTACGTTACTTTGGTCAACAAAGTGTATCGCTGTGCTGAGGTGGAAAAGAATTTCACGTACTATGAGAAAGAACACTTGAAACCTATAAAACAATGTGATGACGTTTGCCCAGCTTCCGGCTCAGGTTGGTCTAGTTTAA